TACCCACTGAGCTAACCGGGGGCCCACGTTCATTTTTGTTTTTTTTATTTCCCTCAGGTGAACCTTTTTTTTAAATGTAGGCCAATAACTGCAGCTCAAGTCCACCGGTAAAAAAAAAAGTCTGTCCGAATGAAGATCTGAATGAGTCCTGTCAGTGGGAATGAGTACAAAGCCGACTGTACCACAGAGTATTTCCTGTCCCCTATGTGGACCGTCTGACCTGAAGCAGAGTTTAGCCGGGGACTACCACGTCCAATCAGTGCCAGGGCAGAGGACACAGTGGAGTTATTCTGATGTCTTCTGATCCTTTATGTAATTGATGCAACTGTATTTGCCGTACATTCATGTTGAGAGTGGCAGAGGACTTTGAATTTGATCCATAAAAAGCACAAATTGGTGAATAAAGAGTCACCAGAATGCAGCAAAACATTACACACAGTAACCACAATGAAGGTGGCACCCGCTAGTGTTCCTTGGCACGAAGCTCTGAGTGGAACCTGAGCACATGGGCCTGGTTATGTAAGTATTTGTAGACGAGTTCAATATCAACACAAACCTCCTCCTCCTCCTCCTCTTCCTCTGTAGGTGATAGAGACGGGATGTTTCAGGGAGCTGAATGTATTTGGCCCTGAGGGATCTCGATCTCCAGACCTCAATAGGTCCCAGACCCCCGAGAGCCCCAGACGCAGCCTGTTGGACCGAATCTTCCGCAGACATGTGAGACCAGTTTCTCAGAGTGTGTGTGTGTGTGTGTTAAGTTTATGTAATGGCTTAATATTCCTGTCCTCTCTTCCTCCGACAGCACCCGGATGAAAGCAAGCAGAGTTTGGTGTCTGATGAGGACTACTTGTCGTCAGAGCTGCTCAGCACTGCCCTCTGAGGCCGCTGGCAGCACAGAGCTTTGAACTGAAACAACCCACAACCACAAAGGAGGCAGATCTGTTTGTCACTGGAGATCCCAGCATAGCATTTGTTTATTTGTGTTTGTATTGATCTCCTAACCGCCCTTTATTAGCACTTGCTTCCTTATGTATTTTACTGTTTCATGCACCGACATTTACTTGCATCCATTTTTGAACCCAGTATGTTAGTAGCTTTCTGTTAAGTACTTGAATTTTGATGCAAATAGCATGAAACTACTCAATAACATTACATTTAATTGCACCAGTTTCATTGTTTTAGCTGTTTAATGAGTTTTTACCCGGATTAAATGAAGTGTACTTTTCTGATTTGATATCACCAGACTAATTATGAAAATAATCACTAGTCCATCAAACAAAAATATATATTTTAAAGCCTCACAAACCAAACAAGTCAGGAGCAACTGGGTCAAAATGCCTATACACTCTGCCTCTATGTTCTACATGTAGTTGTGTTCTTCCATTATCCCAACTGTCTCCAACAATATTCAAACTCAGAGGAATCTGTCATTTTACTCAGGTAACGCTGCGTTTTCTACGACCCTCCGAGTTACCATGACTTCCAAGTAAATGCAGAATACATCAGAGTCGAGACGAACGGGACTAAACGTAATGTGAACTAAACTTTGAAGTTTCATGAAAGAGTTCAACCTTTGTACATGTAGAATTTTTTTATTTAACCCAGAGTATAAAACAGTAAATAACTGACACACATTGTAAAACAAATAAAATTAGCAAAAAGACTGAATACACTAAAGACTTCAGACGGACTCTTGTCTACAGACTGAGTGACGTGTTGAAGTGGGTCCGTTGATCTGCCACGATATGCCCCACAGGTTCAACAGGACACCCAGTGAGCTCTCTCTACAGCGTAACAATAACTTCAAAATATAAATATTTTAAAGCAGAGCACCAAAAAGAAGTGGATTTAGTTTCATTTTTAGGACAAATTTAAAGTTTCAATCAGGTTACAGCCACGAGTGGTGCTTTCATTTTACGCTCTGAGGGTGGAGCGATGGTTTCACTGGAGGTGTGTGCGCGCTGGATTCAAAGCCGCGTTCAACCCTCCCACGGAGGGCTGCGTCGCCCGTCCACGTCCGTCTCCACGTGGTACAGCATGTCGGCCAATGTGTGTTCGATCACAGCTCCCCAGCCCATGTCACTCATCTGAGGGGGGGGAAACACAGAGCAGAGGAGTGATAAACGACAGCTCAGAGGATGTTAGGGTTTGTAAGATCAACTGGACTCGTTACAGAAGCTCTCACCGGCTGGTACTTGAGGTCCTTCGGAGGGTGTTTGAAATGTGGACCGAAATTGACGGACACCTGAACAAAGAGACGGTTAAGTTCAGTTTAAAAAAAGAAAAAACAACCCAAGAAAGCAGAAGAATCCCGAATGTGAACCCGTGTAACTGACCGTGCAGCTCTTGTAGAGTGAGATGGCGGGGAAATAGAGGCCTTCAAACAGGTTCTCAAAGGCAACACCTTGGCTCACTCCGTTCTTAAAGAATATCATCTGAAAGACAGCACCCACAAGTTAACGGGGGGGGGGGGGGCAAACAGGGCCATCCACGGCTGGATTTTATTTCAGAGAGCTTTTCTCACCCTGCTGGGGGTCATCGACTTGAGGCTCTTCTCTGCTTTGTCTACATAGTCCTTCTCCTCGAAGTACAGGTAGCTCTTGAACTTGATTAGCGCCTGAAAAGAGAACAGATTTAAGATGTCAGGACGGGTTTCTAAAGTCAGATGTCAGTGTGTTTAATGACCTCAACAAATATAATGTGAGACCCAAAAAGGTCTAAATATCTAACAAAAAAAACCTTTTTCACAGCAGCTATTTTAACATGAGTTAGTAGAGTAAACACAGGTGTTACCAATAACTACTGGGCTACATGCAAACAATGCAGGCATTAGCGTAGCCTCACTAATTACCACTGCACAACCCTGGTGCTTGTCATGAACATGAAAGTCTTTCTGCATAAATTACATCTTGCTTGGTTTCCTGTCGGTGCTACAAGGATGCCTACTGACCAAGCTGTACTATTTGCCTTAAACACACCATCTGCGAATGTAATACCTGCACCGAATTCACTTGTCAATTAACCTTTCCTTTATTTTATCTGTGGACATTTTAAAACAGAATAAGGATGTGTGCTCAGTCAGTGTAGTCCTCCTTGTGTCTCAGGTGTTACCTTGTCCTTGTATGTATCAGGCAGAGCCTTGGAGGTCTCTGTGGTGTCGGGCAGCTCTATGAAGAAGCCCAGTGTGTCTCCCTGGCCGTAGCCCGAGGAATAATGCTTTCCTAACGACTGGTGAAACTTCGTGCCCTTCTTGCTGCGCCACGAGTAGCTGAACTTGTCGTAGCCCAGAGGGGCCTGCAGGTTGCCTGCGGTATGAAAAGGGGAAAATGTTTTAACACTTCAGGAATTATTCTAAACTACAAAATAATAATAATAATAATAATACTTCCACTGCACTCCACAAGCATTTGTTATGCTGCTTTATACTTCTGTTCTACTACATTTATCTGACAGCTTGGATTTTGCATATTTGTAATGAACTGAATGATGAGGATGGTTTGAGATTCTTGAAACCAAATAAACTATTTAAAAACCCTCCTGGATTAGCTGGACCGTCACAAAGTCTCTACTGACCGAGCGGTTGGGACCAGCCGAGCCGGGCCGCAGTCTCTGAAGGCATTTCTTCAACAGTAACCTCAAAGTACCAGGCGCCCTTCCGTACACCATGCGAGGCTCGCACCATGGAGTAGCCCTTCTCCCCGGTCACCGTCAGACGGTCGTCAGAGATCTTCAGCTGAGGCGCTGCAACGGGGACATACATGAGTCTCATACATGAGTCTCATACACATCATATGAACGTGTAAAGAGAAAGGGTTGACCTTCTGAGTACCTCTGTCATGTAAGGCCAGCAGCACCTTCTCGTACAGACAGGCCCTGTACAGATCTCCAGGTATGGGTTTGCCGGCCCAGCAGTCCAGCTCGAGCTTCTCCGGGTCTGGAGCGTGAGGGTCCGGTTCTGCCAGGATGTAACGGTACCCGTCTTTATTAAAGGGGTGCTCTAGTGGGTAACCGTGAGGAGGCAGCCGCTGGGCCGAGAACAGGGGGTCGCTGGGAGGAGGGAGGAAGAGGTCGGTGATTTAAGTGACAGGCTCAACAGAGCTGTGTGTGTGTGTGT